CTTTCTTAACTTTAATCGAAACACTTTTTTTTTATTAACTATTATTATCATTAAATTATGATCATTTTTACTTATTTATATATTACTAGTTTTTATAATATTTTTAAAGTGCAGAACCATTTTAATATTTCAATTATTATGTTATTATTTAATAAATAATAAATTCTTTTTCAACTTTAATAGAAACAAAAATCTTTAACATTAATTTCTGCAAAATCTCCATTGTGACTAACACTGCCAAATAATATACATTATAAATGTATAAATAATATCATACTAAATAAAAGGCAAATTAATAGTTTTAAGTCACCACATTTTACAGACGAAGCGGATTTTCATAAAACCAGGTCAGGAAATCCCTACGATATACTTCAGACGCACAAACGCTAACATTCCCCACAGAATGTGTACATTTTCCATGCAACGAATAAATCTTGTGAACAACTCAAAATTTTGATAAACATATTACAGTGCACTTTTGAATTGCTTTTTTCTGAACACTTACTAATATTTACTACAGATTTTGTACTTAACCGAGAGGGGAAAGGAATTTACAATTTAATAAACACATATTCCAAGCAAATATATAATTGCTATATGCTTTCCACAAAATAAGAATAAAATGAGCGACAGTATCATTGTTTACAAACATTTAAATTAAACGGTAGTTACGCATGTCGATAAATATTTCGTTGCCAACTGCGTACTATCGATAGTTGGACGGTTGTGTACTATGCGGTGTTTACATAGTGAAACACAATTACTAAAAGGAATGTAATACTTGAAATAATTAATTGTAAAGTATTCAAAATAAATAATAAATAATTTATGGTATAAAAGAATATAATTAAAAACATAAAATAATAAATAAATATAGGCGAAAATAGTTAAAATTAAATAACAACAATAAGTTAAAAATAGTATATGGGCAAAATAATGAACTTAAATGAATAGGCTTCTCATGTGAATAATATAATATTTTCATGAAAGAAAAGTAAAAAAAAAATAAACATAGAACGCATTGTTGTGTAAAATAGTATTATTTATGATTTATTAACATTTAAACTTGCAGGTGTGCTATTAGTCGTTGGTATATTTATAAATACAGAAATACTTGTTTTCGCGTACCTTTGTATGTATGTAGTGCATATCGTATACGTTTTTAGGACAATAAACTATATTAAGCTAATATTTAAATTTAGTAACAGATAAATCAATTAAAACTACTTTTAATTAAGAAAAGTTAGCTGTTGAAATTAAGTATTTGGCCTCATTTGTGTTTAGACTTCGAGTGGCAGGTTTTTATGGAATCAAATAGAGTATGCCAAAATAGAGATTGAAGTGGTTTTATTATGTTAATCTCTATAAAAAATAGTGGTGAATAAGCGATGAATTACGGAGCATAACAAAATTTGCTTGACAGTTATGTCTTAAACAAATTATCATGGTAACGAGTTACACAACCGCGCATATTTTCTTAAATCGCATGTCGCAGTGCAGTTTCCGGAAAAAAGATTCATAATTCGCGGAAGTTTACCAAAATATTCGTGCTAATAAGTACGAAAATTAATTAAATTTAAATGTAATTTTAATTCATAAATTATTAAACACATAAAAATCCATATTTACGCAGTTTGTAAATAAATAAACAACAACATTTAAAATAAGTATGTAAGTATTACGTATATTATTCTATATATATATATATATATATATATATGTATGTATAATTTTAGTACCAGTTAGATATTATATATATTGAATGTGTTTAACTAGCAAAATATATTAATATACATGTGAACTTGTCTACAAATTATGCGTTTGGCTAAATCATATGTAGTTATAATAAATAAAACACTAAAAATATAAAATAATTATAAAATTTGCATAATGTATAAATATTAGCGAATGAAATATATTATAGTTAAATTAATAATAACTCTTGCTAAATTGAAATTATTTAAGAAAAAGTTTAGAGCGAGTTAATAGGCACGTTCAAATCAGTCAAAAATTTACTCATTAAATGTAGTAAGAAGCTATGGAGCCCTCTAGAACGCCATTAACTTACATCACTGGCAAGATATTTGTGTTTGTTAGGCGAAACAGTAAGGAAGTGGATTTAAAAGTTGAGCGTTAATATGAAACACTAATGACTACATCAAGGAAATACTGGTAGCAAGAAAAAGAATATAAAGTTGTATAAACACCACAATATTATTCTGCGAGTATAAGAAAAGTATGTAGCACCAGTCAATGACGTGAAGTCGTATTTTGCCAAGGTTTCGTATTAGTTACGTTTTCGTAACGTTATAAGCATGTGTTTTTCATAAAAAATAAATTGCCACGTGTAAACATTACTTTACTACAAATAACTGTTAAATCACATCAACATAAGGTAGCACGGAAACTCACCACGATCTATGTAATAAACGTTTAACATGTTTCTTTGCATTACGCGTTGTCTATTCGCACTTCAAACGCCTGCTTAGTCCACCAAAGAAACAATGCAAGAACTTACGTGTTCAAAGGTAACAAATATATAACTTGTGATTTACATACAGCTGTATTTAAACATCAACAAAATTAAAAAAAAATAATAATTAAGAAAAGAATTTTAAATGTTAACAATAAATTATGTGTAATAACTAGATGAATATTAAAAACAAAAAACATTTGTACAATTAAAGTTTCATTTGTGCAATATTCAACTAAATTAATGCTGACTTCTTAGTAGTAGTTATTTTAGCTATACCCAACCATGACCCACAATGCAGATAACACTTTTAACTTTTATTTTAATATTTATCAAACCCTCAAAACACTTTCTTGCAAAATACCCCATATTTCGCGCACACACTTATCGATTATTGTTCTCCCCACATCAATGTGTCTGTCTTTGCAATAAAGGTTTTTTAAATAAATCTTTTCCACAGCCTACTTTTAATTTATTTTATACAGTATTATATAAAAATGTAACGCTTTGTATGCTTAAATTTAATTATTATAATCAAATGTACATAAATGCCACCCATTTAAACAATTTCATTTCAGTTTTACAGTTGGCCTCAAACATATATAACACTAAACTTTATAAGTTGTGAATAATTTTACCTACCATACATACTACAAGTGCATACAATATCAAATTTATTTTTCCATATTGTTATTACTATTTTTAATTTTTTTCTTGATATTTATTATCTTATATATCTATGGCTTAAAACAAAATCTGTATTTCCCTTGTGAAAATATTTGTTTGCATGCCTTCACTCACCCATTGAACGCAACCTGCAAGTTAATTTCCCACCGTTGAAAGGAATGCTTTTTATGCTGGCAATTGGTGCATTACTATTTTGTTCTTATCCATTTTTTGTTCGCTTCGAATTTCTTATTTTAGTTTTTATGGATTTTCGAATATTTTAGTAGTTCAGTTTTTAATTTTGTTTATTTTATTTTACAAACAAGCAAATAATACATATACACACACAAAAATGTAAATTATAACAATTATTATTTAACGAAAAATATATCCATAAATAAAAATAAGTATCAATAACTAATATGACATGTAAATATTTATTCTTAAGTTTAGCTGTAATTATTGTGAATGACAGAAAATTATGTATGCCTGCGAGAAAGTGACAATCAATAATATTATACTGAAAATTATATTCTATAAAATGTTTTTGTTAATATGCACTTTCAAAAACTTAAACAAAATAACAACTCATTTTTTTCAGGCTGGTGTGTTTTGAGTCATTAAATAATCTTATTTTAAAAATTAATTCAAGCGCGAAAATTGGTATAACATATTAAAAGAGTAGAAAAAAAAATTGAATGGAATTTTTAACACATAATAATTATAAAATTTAAAAAAATAAATATTGAAATGAATTTTAATAATGTATATATATTTATATTGTATTTCTATATTGTATTAAATATTCATTTCAATATCAATTTTTATTTAATTCTTTAATATCATTTCTACATTTTTAACACAATTTTTTACACTTATAGTATAATATTATTTTAGTTTTATATTATATGGTATTTGTATAAAAATATTTAACCAATTTTTTTTCACGATTACTTATTTTTTTTTAGCATACTCAAGTTCAAATGAATTTAACTTGTAATAAACTAAAGCATTGCAAAATATGCAGCGGAAAATATTTGTTAGTGTACAAAAGTTCTCATCTAATTATTTTTTTTACCTATTTTATAGCTTGTTACATTTTAATTTAATTTAATTTATAATAAATTAAATCGTAAAAAATTATTCAGAAGAAAATTTTTGTAATATTTTTTATAAATTTTTTTTGTTGATTTTAATTTTTAATATATAATACTATTTCAAAATTTTTTAGTGTATCCAAGTTTTATTTTTACATAATTGTTTAAAGATTCAAAATTAATATTTTATTTAATTACTCATATATTTATTCTGTGAGTTTAATACACTATTGTTAATTTTTTAACACTGTTAATATTCACTCATTTTGTACCACTTCAAATGGTTAATTTAAATTTTATGGTTAGCGAATTTAATATGTTTATTTAAATGATTTTTTTTTTGTTATTAAAAATTCATACATAATATATTTAATTGGGTGATTAATTCAAATTGTTTAACTTTTTTAAATTGCGTTTTCATGTATTTTTTTATGTTCTGTACTATTTTACAATACACATTAATTTTTATTATCCTTTAGCTAGAAATGCTAACATTTTGAATTAATTTTTTTTTTTGAAATGTCGAAAATTTAACTCATAAAACGCAAATAAATGTACACAGATATGAGGCTGTACACTCGAAAAAAATTTAACAGTGCATATTAACAGATTATTTTTACATTTTTACATGCATAGTTTTCTGTCAAAAGCATTAAAATATTATTGTAAATAGTCATAAGTGTCGCATTTTCAATTTTCACCACAACTTTCAATGTTCCTTATTTTTACTTACATTGCGCTTTTTCCTCACCCTCCTCAAACAGGCATCGATGTCATACAAGTAGCCGAACGGCAAGTGCTCTCCTCCGCCACCATTGTGGGCATAGCTGTGGGCGGTGTGTTGCTGCTGCTCTTCATTATCGATCTATTATGCTGTGTAACGGTACGAATGGGCGTGATGGCTACTATGTGCCGACGGGCGAAACGTTCGCCATCCGATATTGATGATGAGACGAAATTGGGCAGGTAAGTGTATTAAAGAAAATGTCCCTTAAATTGTAATTGTAACTTAATTACGTTATGTATAAAATGGTATTGCACTAAAAATACGTAATTTTGTATTAACGAAAAAATAATTAGTAAAACGGTAATTAATTTACAGTTTTTTCTTTCGCCCTTCTTTTTCATGCAATTATTTGAATTTTGCACAAACAAAAACAAAATTGTTATTTTTTCTTGTTGTTTGTGTTTTTCTCTTTACGAAAACAAACCCACACCGGCTCAGTGCGAATTCACGCGGCACGCAGATGGATCTTGAGTACGCTTGGGTGTTTGCTAGGCCAAAATCATTTCTGCTCAATCGCAATTCATTGGTTTTCGTATAACTCGCATTAATTTCATTTGCATTTTTAATCACGCTATTCAAATTGTGCCTTAACTTCACATTTCATTTCCTTTAAATGTCAATATAAATGTGTACGTGCAGCCTTATATTTTTAGTGCAATATTATTTACACCTAACCTAAACCACGCACTCCCCACCGTTAATCCCACCAAATTAACCCACATACAAAGCAAAGCAGAAAGTGTCGATACTACATGGATTTTTAGTATGTGTCTCTCCCGCACAAAGTATTTATACGCTCATTTATTGTAATTAATCACGTTATCTATCCATTACTTATATATGTGTATGTATATATGTATATCTGTGTACGTGCATATGTGTTTATACTACTGTTATGTGGTTTGTAAGTAACCCACAGCAATGTGCTTTTAATTGGACTAACTGTAAACATATAACGTTACGAGTACCGTTGCTTAAGCAGCAAGTATGCAATCAAACATTCAGCTACTTACAATCTTCTCATAATCACTTGCCAAACAATGTTATCGAAACATATCTATGGTATTTATATTTGTACAACAACAATTTTTGTATTTGCTATTTGTGTGTACCATCCTCACCGCTACCTTCCCCTCGCCATTAATCATATCCATCTTCATGCTCCTCACTCACTCTCTCTGTCGTACTTCCTCGCGCTCCTCATTCTATCAAATTCACCCAAACCAAAAAATAAAATAAAAACAACAAAAAATACGTGAAACATTTAACCAAGCAGTCTTTACGGTTGGCATTTCCCGCTACCTAATTACAGTGGGCAGTTGGTTAAGGAACCTCCACCATCACCGCTACCATTACCGCCACCAGTTAAACTCGGTGGATCACCAATGACATCGCCATTGTACGTATCACCAAAGTAAAAAATTTAATATTCGTAATTGAAAATCATTTTGCATACTAACCTTTAATGTTACGCATGTGTGTTTGCTATATAATTGTATGTATTTTATAAATTATTACTTACATATACATACATACATAATGTAAGTAATTACTGAATTTATTGTCTTAAAAATATTTCATAATTATTGCATTTGTTATTTATAAGTAATTGCTAAATCACTCATACGACCTGGTGTACTCTACAGTTTATTCTTCGTTCAGACTAAGCTATTGTTTTTTGCTTTAATTACGATAAGAAAAATTTAGCTAAATAAGATAAATATGGCATTATTCTATAAAATTCCGCCGAACAATGCTACAACATTCGACTCTATGTAACCGACTCAACTCGGCAGCTGTCTTACTTTTTTTGGGGATTATTTTGTGTCGATACAATAACAACAACCGTAGCTGTTCAGTTCAATATAAAACTTCAAACTTGCTTATAGAGTGGTCAAAATCGTTTTCAAACAGTAATAAAAACAGCTTATTGAGACTAAGTTATTACTATTAGTAAACACAACTAAGAATTTCATACATTTAAATTAATATTTTTATTACTTACAATGTTGCTTGTTTTCGTAATGGTCAAACCTTAAAATTAACTCAGCAGTTGCCACATTTTAAAAACTAGACTGCTTTACAATAATTGATGGACTCAATAGGGGCACATTCCACATTTGTGGTGCCTAGACTTTCTTGAGAGTTCTACTCATTTTTGAACGATGTTTAAGCCTCTGCACCTATTTTCTATCAATATATTATTATCCTATATTTTGAGAGGTGTTCAAACCTCTTCACCTATTTTCTCTTAATGTATTATTTTCCTATATTTTTCGTAGCGCTAAAAAACCAATTGTATGTATGAAATTACCAGCACAGTTATGAAATATTTTTAAATTTTCAATGCTTTGGACTTTTCAAGTACATTTTTCTTTTAAGCCTTAATTCTTTAATATTTACCACAATATGTATTGAACTAATAACATTTTTAGTTTAATTCCCTTCTTAAAAAAATTAATTAAACTTTGAAAAACTATTCCCTAAAAAAACGTTTTAGAGTTAGCCTGAAATTGTTATTAACAATCGATAAATAACTCTTAGTAGCGTCACCGCCAAGAGCGTAGTTCCTTAGGAAAAGATGATTTTTTAGAGTTTTATGATATTCTTGTTAAAAATCGATAGAAAAAAACATATTGGAAAACATGTAGCGAACTACTTATGTAAGTTAGTGATTGATCATCGAAAATGTTTGGTTTTTCTTTTTGTTCCTCACTTTTTGACGCTTCACTAACAATTTACTGGCAATTTCGTATTTTCAAATAAAAAAATATTATATTTTAACAAATTTACTTATGCACGCATCTTCATTTAACAGAGACGAAAAGCAGCCTTTGCAGACACCAACTGGTAGCGTGAAACAAAATTCCACCGTCGAATTCGATGGACAATTTGTGCACTCGCGCAGTGGCGAAATACTTGGCAAAAACTCAGCTGTGTGAATAAAATTGGAAGAATTCTAAAGACTAAATGAAATCACACAAAACGAACAAATTAGCTGGAAACGTTGAAATCAAGCATTAAAATTTATAAAACAAAAAAACAACAGATATGTTGAACCACAAATTTTCTGTTCTGTGTGCATGTTAAATGTAAATGCATAGCGACGCTGCAACACTGGTGGCGAACAAAATAATGCTTATTACTGGAATGGATACGAACAAATATGACAACCAAAAATATATAAACTACAACAAAATGCGCTGAAATCGCATTTACAGATCAGTTGTAAAAAATATTATTAAATTAAAAATATGCTTCATTTTATAAAACTTAAAAAAATATTACAGCTTTTATATGTTTCCGCTATTTACAATTACAACAAATAGGCATTTATTTGCCTAACAACATAAGCTTAAAAACATACGTATTACCATATACAGTTAATTACATGAAAAATAGTAAAAGTCGATTTCAAGTGTAAAAAAGCAACAAAAATTCCATAAAACATTTATTTCCTTGAAAATAGTATTTTCTTTTATTTTTGTTATTTTTCAAATATTTCTAAGCTATTTTCTAAACACTTTATGAACCATATATAAGCCCAAAAGCTTTCTAGTAATCTTTTACATTCGTAATATTTTAAGTGTATGCTTTACTTGACCTGCGTAACAGTTAAATCCATTCATTTCTGCCTTAAAAAGAAAACAAAACATAGCATTTTTATATATATTGTAATTAATATATATATTGTAATTGGAATGTAACAACAAATATTAATAATTAATAGTAGTTAAGAATAATTTGCTGTTATTAAGTGCTAATGTATACAAAAACAAAGTGTGTATGGCACTAATATTTAGACTAGGCTTTAATATAGGTTAAACATTATGCAAATAATATTCGATTTAAACTAAATTCAGTTCAGATATTTTGATTTTTTACTTTTTCAGAGCGTTTAGTTGGTGAAAAAAATTGTACTTAAAAACAAATACCGTAAGACTATTAAAAGCTGTGTAAGAAAAATCGTAACTGCAAACACATAATAAGGGAAATAATTTATAATATATGAGTTTAAAACGGCATACCTTGTGAAAATTGTAAAGCAATTCGAGCAAATTAATTCAATTTATTTTAGAAATAAAAAATACTAATAATTTTGTTTTCTTTTCTCATACTTAACGATTTTTATGAAAGAAAATTGTTTACAATATTTACAAAACTATCAGCAATTCATATGAAAATCTATTTCGAATTATTATTTAGTTCATTAATAAATTACTTTATGAATTTTTTAATAATAACTAAGATATTAAATAAAAAATGTATGTTTGCTTAGAACAATATATTTCGATAAAAAAAAACACCTTTACAAAAATTACATCTACAAAATTTAGTATTATCATGTTCATTTAAGATATGTGTTCATAATTCAGCGAAATTCATTATACAAGCTTTGTAATAACCATTTATATGTTTTGTTGATTTCATTTTTTTTTTAATCAACAATATTTATAATAATTAAATTAATAGCATCTTAAAACATTAACATTATTTTTTACACACTTTTAACGAGGGCACAGATTCCATATTTTATTAAATAACTCATTTACTATTTAAGAAAAGTATGCGTCATTAATTATAATAACGTATGTATAGGTAACTGTATGTCAAATGTGGCTTGTGTATAAAAAAGAGAAAAAATTTTATATATTTCATATAAGAACGGAACATTAAACAAAGATTCATTGCTCAGAAGTTTTCGCCAAAGATATAAAAATGTGAAAATGCTAAAATGTCAAAGTGTGAACGTAGCTTAAACAAATTAAGAAATATGCTCAAGCATTGACAAAAGTAAGAGATTTTGGTGTTAAAAATTAAAAATAACTAATTAAAAAAATTGAATTTAGCATGATATTTGGTAAAAAAATATTTTATCTAAAAATTAAAAAAAACAACTTGATTTGGATATAAATTCAATAAACAATTAACTTAGATAAATTACAATAAAGAGATTAAACAAAGATGTAGTTATTACTAATTTTCGTTTGATGATCTTTCCATTTTGTGATTTTATTTATGCATTTTCAGAATATATTCTTGCTTCAGCGCATAAAATATATTTAAATAAGGTAAAATAATAATTCGTTTACAATCATAAACCCTTAACATGTAAATTAATTTTTAATTTAGTATTTCAAAAGTGAATTTGTATTTGTATAGTATTAATGGCTTAGTTTAAATCAAAATACGTATGTATAAAAAATGAGTTTACAACAAAAGTAAATTTATTTACTAGTTTTAAGACTTTTTTCTATTATATTATACAATGGAAATAAATAAATATAAGTATGTAATGCAAGTGGAAACCTAAAAATAAATAAAAACGTATGCATTTATTACAAAAAAATTATTTTTGATTTTTCTTTACATTGCATTCAATTATTCAACACTAATTTGCACCTTATCCTATACTCAAGCGCCTTTTACAGAGCTTTTTACAAAAAAAAAATATTATGAAATAAAAAAAATACAAATATTTATATAAAGATATGCCCAACTATAAATTAATAAATACACATATATGTAAATTAATATAATGAAAATACAAAACATACAATATTTGCCGAAAAAATTATTTCCACATTAAACAAAAGAATTTAAGAAAATATCGTATTTACCTACGTACATAAAGTTTCCAAGTTGAGTTTGTACAAAACCGTATTTTGAATATTGAAAATTAATATAATCTTTTTGCCGAAAAAGTATGTTGTATTAATACGATTTATGTATGTATATGTATAACTGATTGAACTAAATCAAACACAAAGCATTTTCCGCAACTGCCAAAAAATTCAAACAAAAAATTAAATTAAATTGAAAATGTTCTTATATAACATTTATCTGTAATTGAGAAATTATTGTTGTTGTATGTAATCTTTTATACTAATCATAAAATATTAACATACATACATACATGCATGCATCGTAATGATTAGATCATTAATTTCGAAGTGAAAAAGCAGTACGGTATAAATGAATAAATGAAAGACTAAAATTAAAAACAGAAACAGTATTTTTATTTGAAAGTTAAGGTACGTTTTTTGCCCCTTTCTCTGCCCTTTGCTTAAGTAAAATTCAAACTAAAAAGTGAAAATCATTAGGAGGTAATAAAAAAAGTCGCTAGAAAAATGAAAACTTTCACAATAAATGGGAAATTTTGACGTTTTTCGTTGTGAATCCGAATGTCAAAATTTTATCAGTTGCCGAGCCAGGTAAAATTTTGACAACTTATAAATATAAATACAGAACCGCATTCAGGAATGAACGAATTTAAAAGAATCGCTGCATACATAACAGGTATGTTAAGAAATATGTAATTAATTCGTAATTATTCATTTGTTTATTTCATTATTAATTTTATTCAATACAGAAACGATACTCTAAATAAGGAAAGTTCTTTACTCATTTTGAATTTTTATTATTTAGCAAAACGTTCCAAACTAAAATTAAGTTGAAAGAATTAACTAAAAATAATATTTTTGTAGTTGATTAAAAGATCTTAATGTAAATATATTTATGTATGCATATACGAAGGTATAATTATGTATGTACATACATATGTGTACCGAATGCAAGAAGAAACGTCGTGGTAGCTTAGCATGTTGACTAAAATTCTCAATTAATAACAAATCTTCAAATTAATGAATTTTTTCTAATTTCATTAATAATGTTATTAGCAAGCAAAGTATTTGCATTTCATTTAATTCATTTTACAAATATATTTAATAATTTAAATAACAAAGCAAACATTCAAAATTTTACTTTCCATTTAGCACAGTAAATTGTTTATACCATAGGGAGTTTAAGTTGCACTGTGTGTGCTGCACAGTCCGGCAGCCCTTAAATAGTAGATCTTTAACAAAACTTCGCCTCTCGAACATTCTGGCAACTACGAATTCGCTGTCTAGTTGCTTCTGTCAATTTATCGTCGATTTGATTTTGTTCTATTATCCGTGTTCGTCACAATATGTAAATTTTTATAAATTGTCAATTGCACCAACAATTGACACAGTGTGAAAAGCGGCAATTCTTTCACATCTTTGGAAATCTATAACTTTGTTGATCTTGATATTAGACTGTTTGATCAAATATTTCCAAAAGGACACAATAAATGTCCATATTAACAATTACAAGTCCATCAAAATGACAACTTTTCGGCAACAATTATTATTAATTAATTCACAATAAATACAAATAAAATAAACAAATATAGAACTGTGAATTACATACGCATGATAGCCCAGTCTTACGTTTACTTGGTCTCTTAAAATAAACAAAGTGTTCCCAATTAGAATGTAGTGCATTCGAGTTTTAATAGTTGTAAAATCACCATTATTTGTTAATTTTTATGCACGGTGTTTTCCATATATCATACCTCAAAACTATATACTTTTGCAGCAATAAAATATAGTTGTATACCTTTTTAAATTGTTTCGCCATGTCTGAAATGCGTATCCGTCCACGACAAGTGCTCGTACTTATTATTGTGTTTCTAGTGGTCTTGCTTTTAGTACATCGGAATGGGAAGCGTACTTGCCAGGGTCCGGAATTTTTGCAGGCTATTTATGCTAAACAAACGGAGAACGCTTTACCAAAAATTTATGCAATAACACCAACATACACTCGGCCATCGCAAAAGTCCGAACTAACAAGGTAAATATGTACTTTGCTAATTAATCACAAATATTTACCAACAATATCATACCTTTCTTGTTTTATCGATGCAGATTGTCACATATATTCATGCTTATGCCTAATTTACATTGGATTTTAATTGAAGATTCCAATACAACGACGAAAGTAGTGCGCAACCTGTTGATGCGAGCGGGTTTAACAGAACGTTCAACCCAACTCAACATTAAAACACCCGTTAATTATAAATTGAAAAATAAAGATCCGAACTGGCTGAAGCCACGTGGAGTGGAACAACGAAATTTAGCGCTTAGTTGGATACGGACAAATGTGGATCCTGCGGAGCATAGTGTGATATTTTTTATGGATGACGACAACTCTTACAGTGTTGAGCTGTTTGTGGAAATGACCAAAATCGAACCAGGTCGTGTTGGCATATGGCCAGTGGGGTTAGTAGGTGGACTTATGGTGGAAAAACCTATACTTAACGCCGAAAATACGCAGGTAATTGACTTTAATGCCGCGTGGCGACCGGAGAGACCGTTTCCTATAGATATGGCTGCATTCGCCATTAGTACTGATTTGTTATTCAAATATCCCCAAGCGCAATTTGCTTACGAAGTGGAGCGCGGCTACCAAGAAAGTGAAATATTAAGGCACATAACAACAAGAGAACAACTACAACCTTTAGCGAATAATTGCCGTGATGTGCTGGTGTGGCATACACGCACCGAAAAAACAAATCTCGTATCTGAAATAAAACTGAATAAAGATGGGAAACATTCTGACGATGGCATGGAAGTCTAACATTAGTAAAAGAGAATTTAAAACTTAAAAGAAATTGCGTCCTTATTTAAATGCGCGTAATTTTTTAATATTTGATATGCGTAGTGGTATTTGTATGTATATATGTATATACATATATATATATATATATGTATTTACCGGTTTATTTAAACTTTGATAGATTATTTGATTGACGTTCACGCCTTACTAAACGATAAAAGCATATCCTTCCCGAGTGATTTAGTACTTCCAAAATATTATATTATATTTATTATGCCCGTAAACACATTAAGTTATTTAAGAATTTGATTTTAAGTTGTATATCATCTTAGTAGTATTGTTATTAATTGAAAGTATGTGTATATTTATACAAATATTACTGATAAACTTAAAAGTCCCATGAGAATAATAAACCAGCTTACTACTTTTAATGAAAGCTTAACAAAAAAATATTATATAATATATGAAGAATTTTTATTTTGGAAAAGCTGTAATGATAAAATTGTTAAGCAATATTTTGTCGAAGTAAAAAAACTTTTTTTTTATGTTTCTGGTTATTAAAAAAAATAAGACTTATCTTATACCTTGCGTAGGTGACTAGAACTCGGTGATATCTCTTTGCTGCTGTAGATAGATAGATAGATTGGAGTAGAGGTATGCACCGCGACCTATGGTCTATTTTGCACTCCCCTAAATCACAACGACTCATCTAGCCTCAGCATATTGATGAACTCTAGGGTGAACTGCTAGGTGCTAGTGAAGCGATGCGATCCCTGTTTGGAAACATGGATCCAATGGCCTTAATTCTACGTCTGCAGACTGCTGTGCAGTCCACAAGCAGGTGATCTGAGGTTTCCGGCTCCATGTCAGAACCGGAAGTTTGCAGAAGAGGCTATGCCCATGTTGAATAGATGCTTCTTGAGCCTGCAATGGCCGGTGTAGAACGCGGACAAGTAGCCGGAATTTGTTCCTAGAGAGATTGATTACGTTTTTAAACCGTCTGAGGTCTTAACCCCCCATTAGCAACCTGGCATGGCACTAGCCTTGGAGATATTGCCTATGTTTCTCCCTGCCTGCTCTTTCCTGCCTACGGAGCAGCTCTTTAATGGTATGTTGTGGCAGCCAGTTCATTCCCGTCTATACCCCTGTGACCAGGCACCCAAATAAGGTGCACTGGGTTGTGGTTTGATAGGCTATTCAGCCGTTCTATGCTCTCCTACACTAGTAGCAATTTGACTTCATAAGCAGAGATCACTTTTAATGCCGCCTGACTATCGCTGAGTATGGCAATACTTTTATTGCGATAGTTGCCTTGGAGATCTGTCTCTACACACCGACTTATATCATACACTTCCGCTTGGAAAATGCTAGGAAAACTAGGAAGAAGGGCTAGTGGCATTACTTCACTTAGCGTCTTCATCCTCAAGGAGATCGTCCACAACTAGGCTCCAAAGTTGGGGGGATAGCACTCCACCCTGTGGGCAACCTCTTGTTGTGCCAAGACGAATTTTGGTATCACCTACTGTGGTTTCAACTACCCTAGTGCCCAGTACGGCTTCTAATCATCTGCGTACTGGTACTGCCACACTCTTCTCCTGTGCTCTTGACACGCTTTCGTGAGCGAACTCTGGATCTCTGAGGTTAGCTGATACAGAGCAGTATTTGTTGATCTGACTGCTCTGTAAGCATGTTGTTTCGCATGAAGCGGTGAAGCCTTCAGCACCTTCGATCGTATTTCGTAGTCAATGATAATGTTAAAGTAATCGGGCCTAAAGGATTTCGCCAATGAATAGTCGTTCTTTTTTACCTTGGGTATGAAGATCACCTTTGCCGTGCGCCATGGTTCAGGAATATATGCCAACACTAATCTATACCTCATCATCCGAACAAGGTGGCGCAGTATGACCTGCTCCCCCTGCTGCAGAAATGCTGGAAGGATGCCATCCACACCCGAGCACTTGTATTTTTCGAAAGAAGCAATAGCCCACATGATGGATTCTGCAGTGAAAAGCTGTTTTGGGACTAACCAATCTGAGCGAGTTGGCTTTCGTTCGACCACTGGTTGAATCTGGTCTTCTTGAATTGTCTCCGAGAAATGCGCGAGTAGAAGAGCCATGGCTCTTTCTTCTGCGCTGGACGTATAGGTTCCATCCGATCTTCTAATTGCTAGTGCTGTGTCCGTCTTGCCTCTAGCGAGAGCCTTATGAAGCTTTGCTGCCTCTGGTGTTGAGGAGATGCTTTCACAGAACCTCCTGAAGCTCTTCTGCTTTGCAGTCCTAATCTCCTTGTTGGAAGCAGTTAGGCTGCACCTGTAGTCCTATCAATTCCCGGTACTCTTAGCGTTGTTAAATATTATAGTTTGCGTACCGTTGTTCTTAGTTCTGAGCGCCTACTTGACCACCAGGAGCAACTGCGGTGGCTTCGCACCCCACGTTTGCAATGCTTACGTTCTTACAGAGTATAAATTCAATGAGAGTCTCACCCCGTGTGTTACAGTCCGTGTGGTGGGCGTTGGCGTCGCATCCTTGGACGAGGGGCAGGTCATTCCCTCTGCTGTACCCCAGCAGGTTGCCGACTGCCTCTGAGGGTGCTGTCGGTGTCTCCCTCGGAAAGTAGGCCACTACCAGGACAAAGTCCGCTCCTTCTTGCCCTTTGCCTGTACAACGACCAGGTCCTGTGCTGGGAACTCTGAAATACAAAAGAAATCAATATCGTTCCTAACTACTACGCAGGTTCTAGGTCTCTCACTAGAAAGATCCCAGATTACCTTGTTCGAGTCCATTTCGTGGCATCTGACCTCACTACAGGATCGGTTCAATGAAGAACTGGTCCACATTCACACCGACGTCCGCGTTGCCACCCGCTAGAACCGTGAGTCCCTCCAGAAGCTCTTACGGGGAGGGTAGCACCCCCCCTTGTGCGCCCATCTTCTCGGTATGGACCTTCACCATGGTCTCAGCAGTTGCCGCCTGCTTTGACGTGCTAGCGCCGGGTTGAGTAGCAACCTCATCCACCAGCATTTTTTATCCTGTATCGGTAGTCGATTTAGGCTTGTATGGCCTCATGACCACCGAGCTGAACCTATAGTTCAGACGGAAGCTCTCCCTCCAGACGAATTTATACGATTTGTCGTCTATGCAGAGGTTGAGCCTCTACCCTGAATCATTGACCTTGCTACTCACAACTCGCCAGACCGATGTTCTGATGTCCTCGTTCTGGTTCTTGATGAGCCCGAGAGTAACTTGTACGCCTTGCCTGCGCACCTGGAGAATAATACCTGTACATGTGCATGGGCGGAGTTTCGTCTCTCTTCTTTGCGCAGAGGATAGGGCCATTCCAGCTTGGGAACGATCTACCTCAGCCAGCTAGCAGACCTCTCATCCTTGCAGGCAAGTTGCAGCATGCCTCCTTTCAAATATACTCTATAGAAGGAGACTGGGTATCCGGACCCTTTGAATACTTCCTCCATGAGTAGGTCTTTGAGCACGGTAAGCTCCTCCGACCTCAGCGTCTCCGCCGGGTAGTTTAGAGGCAGCACAGCCATCTGGATGCCTTTGAGAGCATCCGCATGTCTGCGTTGTCCCTTTCGGGGCGGAGTGGTCGCCTTAGCATTGTTGCCCCTCTGCCCCCCTCTTCTTTCTCCTTTTGCGAGCCCCTCCGGTAGATGCTCATTGCGACTCCTCTGAATCCAAGCAGCTGAGCTTGCTCGAGAGAGTCTTTATGGGACTCGCTTTGTCAGCGCCGGCCGCAGTAGATTTCGCCTGCTGAGCGCCGCTGCACTTGTGTTTAGCTCCTGAATCTCCTTTACCTGCACCGGTGCTTGGTTTGTTGGCTTTGTTCGTGCTCGTTCGCTGTTGTTGTTGCCTTATAGTGGTTGTGGTTTGTTTGCTCATCTTGTTCTTTCCAGCACTTAAGATAAATTTTTATTCTCGGCCATTTTGGCTAGAACAATAGAAACATGTTTTTCATAGCACTGAGGCCTACAGCAATTTGAGTCACCTTTGGTTGCAAATAGTTTCAAAAGAATTTAACATACATACATACATAATATTATGCAATGAAAAATTGTTGATTTTCTTTTATCAAAACATCAATAAATTTACCACTTTTGATTTTCACAATAATTTTATTCAACAATTGTGGCAAAACATTTACAAAAAAAATATAAAATACTAAAAGTTGCTAAAATTTACAAGAAATTAATATCATATTCACATTACATGTTAATAGAATATGAACTGTGTAAAGAACGAAATAAAAATAATTCATTCATAAATAATTATTTATAAATAGTTAGGCTATACTAATATATAGTATTTTATAAAAAATTATATAAATATAAAAATGTAATTTATATAAAATTACATTTATAAGCGTAGAGATATTAATAACAGGTGTAATTAAATAATCAAAAAATATTATGTAAATAAACAGCACGTTTCCTAATTAAAAAAACAGTTATATGTTTCAAGTTAATTTCAAGTTTTTTGTTATTTGCGGTATGCAAATAGAAAATAAATTTATAAGCTAACTTAAACTTATAAATACCATCTTTTTGTAGACAATTTATAAACAACAAGACTTAAGCTTATAAAATATGTCCATTCGCCGTAATTGTAGCGAAAATTTATTTAATCCACGGTTTTCGTTTGTTTATTGCTTTGGTTACTGAAGTGTATATTTTTCGCTCTCTGCATAGTTTGGTCCTATCCTTGTCCTATCGCGATCCTCGTTGTTGTAGCAGCAGAAAGCATCCCTGAATAAATTTGGAGAATGCTACCGAGCTGTCGGTCCTTGCGGGAAAAAAATCTGTCCGTTCCGTGGCAACTACGAATTTCTCTGTCGAGTAGGTTCTAGCAATTTTTCGTCGATTTTATTTTGTTCGGGCATTCATGTTCGCCACACTACCCTCAGAGAATGTAAATTATAATCTCTGCCACCCTCCACTCAAATCTAATTGTCCTGATTAGACCCATTTACAGTACCAAACGCTGCAAACCATTCATAATAAATTACCTTCATTTTATTCCTAGGTCTTCCAATGTTCTGAATGCGATATACTACATCGTTGAGCTGTTTAATAAAATGGTATGGTGCCTTTCAACTACACTATAATTTTCATTTCATTTTATCGCTCATAATTTCAGTGCGCTTTTTCACCATAGCATGAATATCCCTCATCTCGCCTTCTTGGATGCTGTCGACTTCCTTATCACTCCTTCCTCCGTTGGCGTTAGTTCCAAACTTCAAATGAAGTGGTAGTCGAAGATCATTACCAAAAACTACCCTTGGTGGTGTCTGACCCGGTCTTTCATGTACAACAGACCGATAAGCCATCAGGAACAAGGAAATATGAGTATCCCAATCTTTTTAATACTTGTCCACAACTTTCCTCAAATGTTCTTCCTAAGTTCGATTGATTCGTTCTACCATGCCATCGGACTGCGGATGAAGTAGAGTTGTACGGGTTTTGCGGATACCCGGATTCTGGCCCATCTCCTGAATTAGTGCTGATTCAAAATTCCTCCCTTGGTCAGAATGTAATTTTATTGGAACACCATAACTGGTTACCCAATTGCTGATGAATACGACCGCTGCTGTTTTTGCCTCTTGGTTAGGAATTTTGCTGAAATAGTTCATGACTACCAAAACATACTTGTTTCCTAATTAACTGATATGAAATGGACCAGCTACATCCTTGGCTCAAACGACGCACCTGATTTGTCCATGACTTCTAGACCCCAGCGCTTTAGCAGCAATGCACTCGTCATAATTGGCGATCCACTCCGTAACTGATTGACGACAACCAATCCAGTAAAATCTTTGTTAATTTCTTTAGGGTATAAGATACCCAGGGGTTCTCCACTTGGACTGTTGCGCAGCTCGTTGGGAACTTCGTAAATTCTTACTTTCGAAACAATCGTCAGAGCTCGGGAGCTTTGTCTACCTTCGCTTTCCTATAAGCGATGCATGCTGCCAGACGCCAATTTTAAACTATTCATCGTGCCTAATATGCCTTTCCGACTAGGCTTTCTGCAGCTGTTTCTTCTCTTGTTGGACGATTATTTATCTCCAATCCATGTATTACACATTTCAAATCTGGATCTTCTTGCTGACATTTGCGTAGTTCCTCAATTACAGTTACACAATAATTTTTCTCTGGCTTGCTTCTTGTCTGACTAGCATTGCAGTACATAACCGTTTCTTAAGAGTTTGGAAAGCCATTTCCTGTTCTTTATTCCACTCAAAGTACACAGTCAAAGGAAACTATGCAATTCATTATCCTATCTCTATCTTCTCATTAGTTTTGAAACGCCACTTTGTCACTTTGTGTCCTAAGTAGCTTACTTCCTTTTTGAAAAGGGAACACTTCTTTGGGCTCAGTTTTAGACCAGCACCAGCTATCCATAGGAAAGCCTATTCCAAGTTATTAAGGTGTTCATCGAAGCTTTTACCCAACACTATGAAATCGTCGAGGTAATACCTGATCCATAAGTCTCTCAAAGGTAGTAAAAGCGTTACATAATCCTAAGGGCATTACGGCAAATTGCCATAGACTATTTCCAACGCTGAAAGCCGTCTTTTCTTCTTTGTTTACCTCCACTTGCCAATCGCTTTTTAAATCAAGTGCCTGCAGAGAACCATTTTGTGCCTGATAACGAGTCCAGAGTGTCATCGATTCTAGGTAGTGGATAACTGTCTTTCTTCGTTACCTCATTCAACATTCTATAGTCCACACAAACCTCATGTTCTCATCTTTCTTCTTCACAAGTACTACAGGTAAACTTCATGGACTTGTTGATGGTTCGACTACGCCGCTTTCGCTCATTTCACGTATGGTCTGGCTTACAATTTCACGTTGTCCTAGTAAAACCTTTCGAGGAGCCTGGCGGATTGGTCTTGCATCACCTGTGTTAATAAAATGTTTCATAACTTTGATTCTTCCTGGTTTGGAATCGTCTTTATGGATGAGTATCTGAGAAGGAGTTGTTTAACCTTATTTTGATGGTTTGCCTCTAGTTACTTGGTTCATGCGTTAATTTTGCTCGAAATGTAAATGGAATTTTTCCCAAGACATATTTCGCAATTTATCACGGCCTCAATCTATTGACACTGCCCTAATATAGCTCCTCTGGAAAGTTTGATTGGAAATCATTAAGTTCTCTTACTGGAAGACGTTTATCTTGTCCTATCATAGCCAGGGTTTTTTTCTATAAATAAATTTGGTGTAGATTCTTATGTGGTCTCAACTACCCACAACTTGTTTTTCGCATAATCTACATCTATTTCTGTCCAAATAACTGCTTCTGACTTTGGTGGAATCTGTTGGCTCTCTGTTATTATCACTCCTCTAACGTACTTATTATCATAACCGTATATAGGTAAGTGACACTTTTATAATTGTATAAGTAATAATCTTGTTCTCCATGTAAACTTTTATTCCTTGATTTGCTAGAAACTCTAATCCAATTATGACTTCGTCGACGATAACTTCGCTTGCTGGAGCCAGCCCGTGCCCGTGTAATGCATGAAGTGGAGTTGAACACATATATATCGAGTGAAGAAATAGATTCAGAAAGCTCAGTGGCAAAGGCATATAGCCTAATATCCGGGTGCACCATTTGAGCGAATTGCCGTGAGTATATTTCCCACAAATAATTTAGGAAACGAATGTATTTTGCTGGTCAAGGACTATTTCACCAAATGGCCAGAAGTATACACAATTCTTAATCAAGAGGCTGAACCAGTAGCGGACGTATTCATCAACTAGTGGGTAACGAGATTCGTTATTCCAAGGAATTACGTTCTAACCAAGTAAGGAATTTCGAGTCAGCTTTAATTCTAGGGATGTATCAAAAATAGGGTATCTGGAAAACGGATGGAATTAACGCTAATAAGAGAAGGACGGCTACGGAAGTTAACAGCACATATAAATTATATGTATCTGTGTATAGCTCTGTATGTACATTTATACACATATTATAAAAGATTAATATAAATTTATAAAATATGTTTGAATTTTTTTTCTGTGGCGAATGTACAATCTCTACCAATTGAACAATTTCTAGACCTTCTTGTTGTGTACCTGCCGGCAGTTGTTAAACATGATTTTATATCTAAGGCCCAAAGTGCCCATTTTGATCGGATAAAAAATGCAGTAGCCGACGGAGAGTTTATAACTTTGGATTTTTCAGAAAAATTACCTGCTAAATTCAAGATGCTGTCCAGTCTCAACATTGGCCTAATGATCAAGCGACGTTGCACTCATTTGTTTTTTACTTTAGAGACCAAAATGTAATAAAAATTATTAATTACGTAATCGTTTCAGAACATTTTTTCAACTATTTCTAAACTAATTGCTCATTTGAAAGAGAAGTTTGGTTTTGAAAATAGTGAAAAGGTATCATATTTTTCGGACGGCGCTGCTTCGCAATATAAAAACAAATACAATTTCATAAATTTAATTAGCCGTAAATGAAGATTTTGGAGTCGAGGATGAATGGCATTTTTTTGCCATTTCGCATGGTAAAGGAGCTTGTGACGGAATCTGCAGTATCGTCGACTACTTCACCAAAACATTTATATCAACGTGCAAAGAATTTTTCAAGAAAATTGAGTTTGTTTATTTTACAATAGAAAAGTGAAGTGAGCGACGCATATTGCAAAAGGCAAAAGAAAAGCATGGATAACTTGTGAAATCATGATCATGTGAAGGTTTTAATGTTTTTCTTTTTGCTTATGGTTCTTCATCAAATAAAAAAAAAACCTGTTATGAAATGAATTTTTTAAAGCGATTGAGAAGTTGACTTTAATTGAATTTGTTTAAGAAAATTGTTTGTATTTTTTACTAACTTTGTTTTTTGAATCGAGATTTTGTCCCATTAGAGACTAGAATAATAACGGTTTTGTATTCAATTTTTTCTTGTTATTTATTATTACAAAGCTCATCTTTAAGAAACAAATAATTAATATATTATACATCTGGTGTATATTTTAGTTTAATTATTTAAAGAATTATTAATCTTAATTTTAACACTGAGCACCACAAAAGCTTCTAAATCAGATTCAGATTAGCTAATTCAAACAAGTTCGGTTATGTCTCGGTTCTACGCGTTTGATTTAAAACACTTTGGGTGAATTCATTTGGTTGTGCGTATTTGCGAACCCATTCATCCGAGTGACTATGTAATTTATGCTTATGCATATTGGCATGTGATCTGAACGTCTTAGGGCAGAAGGGGCAAGTGTACAAATCGACACCAGTGTGTGTGGCTTCATGTTCCTGTAAAATAGCATTCAATCAATCTGATCTAATTAACAACTACTTAATTTTAAAACCTTCAGTGCAATTGGAGTTTTAAATTCTTTGGTGCACATTGTACAGGAGAAGATTCGGTTGGAGTGATGATATCGTATATGTGATGCAAGCGAATGCCTAGATTTTTTCTCAACGTCACATTGAGAACATTTAAAAACTGTACCTGATGCTTCATCGCGATGTGAAATCATATGCTTCCGCAAACTGCGATCACTTTTTAGCCATTTATGACAAAGCGTACATTCAACTTCCGGACGTGGTTCGGTGTTGTGTATATTATCCATATGATATTGCAAGTTTGCGGCATTTCTCAAACGCTTTCCACATATCTCACAAACTGATTCAAATTCGTTGCGATGAACTGATTTTTCGTGTTGTTTCAAAATCCAGATACTTGCAAATCTGAAATTTTGAAAATAAAAAAATAAAATAACATATTTCTCAATAAAATTGATTACTTACGCCTTATCACAGAGATTACAAATATGGTCCTTGGGCATGTGACGCATTTTTATGTGACTATCTAGTATGTATTGCTTAGAAAACTTTTTCGGACAAAGTTTACAAACAAATTGCAGGTTTTCTTCAGCAGGGTGCAATGAATGCATATGATTTGCGTAATTTTTGCGGCTTATTAGTTGTTTATTACAAATGCAGCATCTGCGAAAACATTAAAGCAAAAAAAAAACAAATATAACAAACTTTTACTTCGAATTTAGGAGCAAAAAAATACTTGAAGAAGTCAGGATTCTTATGCAACTGAATATGGTCCACATATAAAGTACGTTTATTAAAACGTAGATTACAACATATCACATATCCGGTGCATTGATGTTTTTGTCGAAAATGAGTTTTAAGTTCCTTAAAATCTTTCAATTGTTCCGTGCAAATACAACAGTTCAACTGTGTGTTTTCTGCCAAAAACTTATCAGCTTCGCGGATAGCTTTCAACTTTTCTTCATAGTTTTGGGAACTTTCGATATTTTTCTTATTGGTGGCACTTGAACTCGCTTTTGAATTGTTACGTTTTAACCTAGGTCGACCCCTTTTACTCTGTCCTTTTTCTAAAATTGTCTTCTCCAGTTTTTTATTCTTTTTAGTGTATTTGCGTTTCTGTTGACTATTTGGTGCAAGATCTTCAGTTTCAATTTCATTTTCTCTTGAAAGTATGTCTAGAATAGGAAAACATGAATAAACATATTAAAACATTTGAAGGAATAAGGAACTTATTATGTACATGAACATGTTTTATGCACTTGCCAAGGGAATCTGTCGTAGGAGCAAAAACATCACAATCAACGGTCCCCTCATCTTCTTCAGTTTTTGCAGCAACAAATTCGGTTTCAACTTCAAATGTGTCTGAATTTTCAATAAACATATCTATTTCAGGTTCACACAAGCCAGTCTCTACTTTTTCATGAGTTGAATTTTTCGCTTCATAAGCGAAACCTCCTGTCTCCACATCCTCGATATCACGCTTTATTTCCGTAAAATGCAGTTGGTTATTTAGTGTTATCTGCTTCTCTTCAATACTCAACCAGTAATTATGGAACTTCGATAGATAATTCCAACATACTAAACATATTATATTAGACACTGCATCATCGTATCGAATCTAAAATTGAGTGGAGGAGTATATGTTTAACTATCAACAGTATATCAAAAAAAAATAACCATACCTCAATTTGGAAATGTTTAGCTACTACTTTCAAAATGTCATTATCTATCATTTCTCCTGTTTCATTATAAATTTTTAATATTTCATTTGACTCAATTAAACACAGTCGGCAAATCATTTTGCTATCCGATAAGTATTTTTCTATTTACATATGTTTTATTTACACTTTGTTGTCACAAATTGAATTTACATTTTATGTCTTCTTCTTCTTTAAAATTCATTCAGTATGTAGTAATAGCGTAAATTTACCTATTCCGACTATGCTAAAATAAACTCCATCCTAAGTCTATACAATTAGATTATCCTTTATATACCATAAATAAGAAGTAGAATTTATTTAATGCGTGTGCACCAAGAATTAAATTAAAAAATTGTTGAAATAATTTATTGAAATCTTAAATGTTTATTGACTCTTCAAATTTGTTCTCCATCAGGTGGTAAAATATTTAATAAACTTTTGGTAATCTCGCTTGGTTGCGACCGTTTACGAACCCACTCATTTGAATGATTGTTAACCTTATGTTTGTGCATATTCCCATGAGACCTAAACGTCTTTGGACAAAAGGAACAGGTATATAAATGGGTTCCAGTGTGAGTTGTTTCATGTTCCTATAAATGGTGTAAGCAAACATACATACAAACATATATATATATATATTTTTTTTTGTTTTTTAATATTATACATTACCCTCAAAGCGCGGGGATTTTTAAATTCTTTATTGCACATTGTGCATGTGAACACTTTATCAGAGTGATGATAACGAATATGAGCGGAAAGTGCATGGCGTGTATTTTTTTCCATACCACACTGAGGGCACTTGAATTCTTGTCCGGATGCTTGGTCCCGATGTATAATCATGTGTTTCTTTACACAGCGTGCGTTTTTCAACCACTTAAGACAGATTTTACATTGTTCTTCGGGACGAGGTTCCGTATTATGAATGGTTTCCATGTGAGACAAAAGATTTTGGGCGGTTTTAAGACACTTGCCGCAAACTTCACAAACAGAGTCGTATTCATTTAAATGTACTGCTTTTTCATGCTGTTTTAAAACTGCAGAATTTATGAATCTTAAAAAGAAAAAATATTAAGAATTGATTATTAACTCAGCAAAAAAATGTATCACCCCTTATTGCAGGTTTTGCAGATATAATTCCGCTCTGTAGTATGGCTAGACTTTATGTGATAGTCTAAAATGTACTGTTTAGCGAACTTTCTTGGGCATAATTTACAGGGATAAAGTAAACTTTCTGCGTCTGGATGTATAGTGTCCATATGATTTTGGTAGTTATTTCTGCTTGCTAATTGTTTATTACAGAGTGTGCATCTATATAAAGGTTTTGTTCAATAAAACATTGAGTTTAATAGCGTCTTTAAAATTGCATATTAATGAATTATGCAAAACTTACTTGAAAAAATCTGGGTCTTTATGAAGTTTTAGATGGTCCACATATAATGTCCGTTTTCGATACCGATTATTACAACAAGGAATATAGCCTACACACTGATGTTCTTGTCGAAAATGTTTCTTTAAGTGTGTGAAATCTTTCAGTGGTACAGCGCATAAGCAACAAGTTAGTTGTGTGTTTTCTGCTATAAATTCGTCCAATTCCCGTATCAAAGATTTTGTATTATGCTTTTTATCGCCCTTATCATCTATTTTTAAAATTTTTTTTTCAACATTATCTTCAGATTTTATTTTTCGCTTTTTGGAACGCAGAGTTTTATCAATACATTCTTTATCTGGTTTTTTCTGTTTGGTGCCTCTTTTCGTGAATTTCCGCTTTTTAGTAGACCTTAATTCCATTACATTTTCTTCTGAAACTAATTAGTAAATTCGATGATCGTAAAAATATTTTGTGCCTACCTAGTAATCATAGTTACCTTCATCTGTATATGATGGTGTAGGTGAAGGCAATGAATCACGATCGCTTGATAGAACATCATCCTTCATTTCAACAGCATTGAACTCCAATCCATCAATAGATAACATAGGATGTACAACTAAATCTATCTCTGGTTCACGTAATTCATTGTCTTTTGTGTCAATCGGAGATTTTATAGCTGCACTAGTGAACTCCAGTTGAAAATCATCCACATCTTGTTTTATTTGCGTGCATATTATTTGTGTTTGCAATGTTTTCTGTTTTTCATCTATTTTTAACCAAAATCTGTGGAAAACCGATGTATATTCCCAACACTCTGCACAAATCTTATTGGAAACAATATCACTCGGTTGTACCTGTTATTGATTTGAAGTTTTAATGCTGCCGAAAGTATAATCATGGTTTACCTTACCTCGACGTGAAAGTATTTAGCAATAATTTTAGCAACTTCCGTTTCTCCATTGTCGGAGAAGATATCAAAACTATTATTTGAATCTTCTAAACAGAGACGACAAATCATTTTTGTCGAATCAAAATACTGCTAAGTTTAATTCAGGGCTGTCTTCTTATTATTTACATTCTTCCTCTTCTTTGGAAACCCTATTTAATTCACAGTAGTATTCAATATTGAATATTCGTTTCTTGTTAACGTTGCCAAACTTTCACAACATATGTTTTAAGGAGATCTTCTATTTCATGCATTTGGTAACTACTTTCAAATAGAGAACTCCAGTAACAGTTACGCAAGGATCTCTTAATAACTTTGGTCAATGATGTTAAGGTGCAGTTTAATGAGTAACAATAGTTGTATTTCTAATTTAAATTCTTAATCACAAATTTGTAATACTGTATATTGCTGCAGTTTCTTTAAGACTGTGGTTCACCAAATGGTAATAAAGTCAGATACCCAGAAGGCATATCATTCGCTTGAGTAGAGTGTTGTGGCAACTTTTCTTCTGATTTTCCTTTTAGGTTCTCGTTACATTTTTGATGTACTGCTTCATCCGAATGATTGGCCATGTGTTTACGCATATTACGGATCGACCTAAACTTCTTTGCACATATTGAACATGTGTAGAGGTGTATTCCAGCATGTCTAGCCTCATGCTCCTAAAATTAATTTAATTAATATAATGAAAACTTTAACATGTTCTTAGATTTTCATTACTCTCAATGCGATCGGTAGTTTAAACTCTTTGTTGCATACAGGACATTTAAAACTTCGGTCTGAATGATGGTAACGTATATGTGCCGCCAGTGAATGTCTGGAATATTTAATGGCATTGCATTTAGTACAAGGATACTCCTTTCCCAAAGGCTCTTCACTGTGTGCTATGATGTGCTTCTTAAGTGTATATGCATTTTTCAGCCACTTTTGACATATATGGCATTGAGCTCTGGTACGTGGTTCTGCGCTGTGAATAGAGTCTACATGACGCAAAAGATTGTGAGCTGCTTTAAAGCATTTTCCACATATCTCACACACAGATTCATATTCATTCAGATGAATGTTTCTTTCATGTTTCTTTAAAACGCCAGCACTGACGAATCTTTATTTTATAACAGACACAATAATTAAAAAATGTATCTTACTAATATAAGTATTTCTGCATTGTATACATTACCCCTTGTTACATATTTTACATATGAAATCGCGTGTAGTCGTATGTTTGGAACGCATATGATAATCCAAAAGATATTGTTTAACGAATTTTCTAGGGCACAATTTGCAAAAGAATTGTAAGTCTTCCGTATCAGGATGTTTTGAATCCATATGATTTTGAAAAGTATTCCGGCTTGCCAACTTCTTATTGCATATATGGCACCTATAGGAGCATATGTAGTAGTATATTAAAAACATTAGTCACAGTTTTATATGTAATGAAAATGCTTACTTCAAAAAGTCTGGATCCCTATGCATTTTTAAATGGTCCACCCAAAGAGAACGTTTTAAAAAACGACTATTGCAACAAGTCATATATCCTTCGCATTTATGTTGCTCACGGAAATGTTTTCTTAACTGAAGGAAGTCTGTAAGTTGTTGCTTGCACAAACAACAACTCAATTCCGAGTTTTGTGCAATATACTCATCCATCTCAGCAATCAAAGCCAATTTGGCCATACGTCGACTCGCAGATTCTTCCGCATTTGCAGGATCTTTTGACACATTATCATCGCTTTTTGACTTAAACGACTTTTTCCTGTATTCGCGCTTGGGTCTGCTTTCAAGGTTCTTTATCTTCTTTTTCGTCTTAACACCTAAGTAACGGTGATATTAAAATTAAATAAATAGAAATAAAAAAATTAAAATAGCTCACGATTATTAGTAGATTTCGCTTTCAGTGGAGGTGAGGATTCTTGATCGGATGATACTTCGTTATCTATATCTGCCACATCGAATTCGACTTCATCATCGCAATCGTTATCCAATTCAGCAGCATCAAATTCAACTTCATTGTCGCAAACGTCGGGTTGTAAAACAGCCAAATCTATTTGCGGTTCTCTCAACCCAATTTCCTTACAGTCAATAGATGAGTTAATATGTGCTGAGGGAAATTCTTCTGTCTCAATATCTTCTATGAGATGTTTTGTTTCTATGCATTCTAGATGGGTTTGCAAAGTCTTCTGTTTTTCATCAATATTTACCCAAAACTTGTGGAAATCGTCAATATGTTTCCAACACTCGCAACAAATTTCATTAGAAATTGTTTCGTGGCACTGAATCTTAAATTAATTGTTATCAATTATTTACAAATATAAACATATGACATATGCACATACACATGTGCATATTAGTTTGAAACACAAACGAAAATATGATTTACCTCAATGCAAAAATATTTGATTATGACTTTTGCGACGTCACTTTCACAATTATCTGACCATAGTTTTATACCGTTAGTGATCCCCACTAAACATAAACGACAAATCATTTTTCTAAACAAATAAGTAAACAAACACCAAAAGATGTATTCCTATTGGATATAAGAAGACGATAAACTTATTTTAACTTGTCGATTTTTCGACAGACCGATATACATATATGTATTCCCTTTACAGCAAATCGAATTTCAACGAGAGATTTTTAAAAACATAAGGGATAAAGAGCTTTCATAACAAATGATATACTCATATGTTGTTAATTTATAATAAAATATTTACCTCTTTATATTTCAAAAATATTTCATTTTGCCGTATACAAATCAATGAACCGACTACCGCTTATATGTTTAGGTTTGTGCAATCATATGTTATTACTGTTATCAACACTATTTTAGGTAAACAAAAGTTGCCAATTATCCGGCTAATATAATAAATAAAGAAAAAAGCGAATAAATGCAAGCACAACGGATTATTATAATACACCCCGGATCGCTATATGTTAGGATTGGAAGAGCCTCAGATCTTAATCCTATTACTCTTTTACATGCAGTAGCATACAGAAAGCGTGAATCTACATCTGCTCAAGAACATAAAGATGCGCTACTGCCACACGTGCCAGGCTCAGCTGAAACTCTTACGGAATTCGAGGAACAAAGGCTTCAAGTTTCGCATTCTATACAATCATATGCGCCGCTTCAAGAAACTCACGATCGCAATGCCAAACGGCTGCGAGTTGCTACGCCACCGCAACAAATCGCAACTTTTAACAGGCGGAGTGTTCCCGAGGACCTTCCAATAGTAGACGACAACAATTGCAACAAAAAAAGTGAAAATGTTGTTGGACATGAAATGCTCTTTGACAAAGATATTTTAACGTTAAACGAAAAAGAAGCTATTGCTTATAATGTTCATTTTCCAATAAGACGTGGTGAATTAAATCTGCATAAAGGTGTGGGTGGTTCTACCGCAGCAATCATATCTAGCATGGAAATAATTTGGTTGTATGCATTGAAAAAGCATTTAAATATTGCGGCAGATGCATTACCACATTATAGTGCGGTTTTGGTTGTATCGGACGTCTATAATCGTAGTCATTTACGAGAATTAACAACATTATTATTACAACGTTTAAGATTTCGTTCGTGTTTTTTATTACAAGACCATGTTGCGTCTACTTTTGGGGCTGGACTAAGTTATGCCTGTGTTGTTGACATTGGAGATCAAAAATGTTCCATATCTTGTGTGGAGGATGGCATTAGTCATCCAGAAACTCGTGTACGACTATCTTATGGTGGTGGCGATGTGACACAAGTATTTTTAAACCTTCTACGAAAGTGCAGTTTCCCTTACAAAGAATGTGATGTAGAAAAAGGTTATGCAGATGCAGCATTACTAATGCATTTGAAAGAACGCTTCTGTCATCTTACCTTAGATGTTTGTGGAGCGCAAGAACGTTGTTTTGAGGTAATGGAAAAGTTCTATAATAATTCATCTAAATCTCAATTGTGTTAATTTTGTAGGTAAAGAAAGGTAATAAACGATTTCGATACACCCTTCAAATCGGTGACGAATGTGTTGTGGCGCCACTGTGCCTTTTCCATACAGAACTACTTAATATTACTGGCAAAATGAGGCAAGCTAAAGTTCAACTGCGAAGTAGTCAACAACCGGATCCGGAAGATTGTTTTGATGCGGAATACATACGGGAAACGGGACGTCGAAATGGAGTACGAGATCAATTACTTGAAGGAGCGATACCAGTAACAGGCGAAGTGACTGAAGATGATTTAGTGGTAGACGATGTGGTTGAACGTGACGCCAATAGTAAAACTAGTGATAAAGATGAACTTTTGTATATCGTAAACGGGCAGATTATGCCCATTGATCAGGCTATAGTACGGAGTATCGAACGCTGTTCAACGGAAGAGATTAAGCGCAAAATGTACAGTTGCATATTGCTTGTAGGTGGTAGCACGAAATTTCCAGGATTCTCAAAATGGCTCGAACAACGTGTTATGCTCCAATTAGCGGCCACTTCAATGTCATACTCTGCATTTGAAGTTAATGCGTTCAGCAAAGAAATGGATGCTGGTATGATAGCTTGGAAGGGAGCGGCTATAATGTCTTGTTTGGAGAGTGCGCCTGAGCTATGGATATATTCTAGTGAATGGGAGAAGTATGGTTTGCGAATACTACGCGAAAAAGCGCCGTTCATTTGGTAATTGATATTAATTTGAGTACAATGGAGTTGAAGCACCCTAAACTAAGAAATTAACAAATTACTCAGTTGTAAAAAATAGCACTGTTTATAGGAATGTAAACATACAAATACAATACGAGGAAATTTATACACTTTAAAATACAAATCGATTATTAGTATTTACAAATTTAGTACAGCATTATTACAACAAAAAATATTAATATTTACAAATTTACAAAAGTGATTAATCTAAATTCATTTAAGATGTTGTAGCGGCAGAATTATGCCGAGTTGCCAGTCCTTGGCTGGATAAATATCCGGGTCCGGTCCGGTTACGTAGACCCGACTGTTGTGGGAATCATTTAAGATCTTTGGGAGTGCTGGAACCCATATAGTGATATAAGTCTTGCAATGTTGATTGAACCAATTTAGCCTTTATAGTTTCACGTTTCAACCGCTTGTAGGCTTCGTACCGATGACAGCCCCCAAAGCTGTAAAAATAATCACCACCCTCAGTACCCTTAATCCAAAGCACATCTATTGGTGGGACATCGTCTTCTGTTACTTCATTCTACTTACAATAAAAACATAAGAACATATATGATTAGTATACTAAAGATGTCAATTTTATTCCAACATACCTTTATAGTATTCATAAGGGATTGAACCTTTTCTTCGTCTAATACCGAAGGAATTGGTCTATGTATGACACTGATGGGTATCATATGTACTTCTGTTATTGCTGCGGAATGTACACTTTTACTGCTCATGTTGCACGTTACTTTTTCTCCAAATCTTCCTACAATCAAATTATACAATGCATTTTTCTTAAGAACTTTAGGTTAGTAAAATGAGTTGTGAAATTGCAAACAAAAACTAAATTAATTATTACTATATTTCTAAACATATTAACATAATATACATATATATAAATTTTTTTCACCTTGTTTATTAAATTTTGTAAGTTTGACCAGAGAGTTTTTACGTCTACTCATACGTAAAGCTATGCTGCTAATAAATGACATTGTACGAAATTGTGCCTAAACTTTATCTCTGCCTAAACGTTACCATAAATAATTTCTACTACTTGGCACATGAGTTAGTAAAACCATATAATGACTACATACATATCTATGCATACAAAAATCAATGTTTTTTTTTATAAAATGTCATACTACATTGCATTTTAGTAAATGCTTTTTGGGGCAAATTGCAATATAATTTTGGAAACATATAATGTATGTACTTATATACTATGTATATGCACCTGCTGGTGAAACTGTTGCCGATTTCATGTACTATTAATCGTAAAGAATTTAGAATTGAAAATAAAATGCATGAAAATAAGTAAGCACATACGAGATTATTAGCAGGAGTTAATAAACAGTGTGAAGTTCGACAATATTACATTTCAAACGATTATAAACATACCTCCCATGATTTATTGAATGTTAGATTAATTAAAGGGAACGGTAAACCTTTTTAGCATTCTCAAAAAATCAATGTGATTTCTAATTATATTATAGGTATATTGTAATAAGAGAGTTTAATCCTTCTTATATTGCCACTATACTAATAAAACTAGTTTCAAATAGTTTGAAAAGGTATTAGATATTATCATAGCTTTTACAAAAAATAATATTTTTTATGTAATAATATTACTAATACCTTAAAATCAAGACATAATATAATGAAAACACGATTATATCAAATATTAAAACAACGATACATTTTACTCATTTGCTGCTGGTTGGAAATGGGATATTTCTTTGGCGAAAATCCTTTTAATAACAGTAACATTTATAGCATAATTTTTTATTTCTACGTATATATTTTTTTTTATTATAATGATATATAAACAATTAAAAAACTATAACTTTTTCTATTTAATTACAAAGTGATGAAAAAAAACGTATCTTAATATTAAGCCGTTGGCAACCATGTTTATGAGTTGTCAAACAAAGTAAAGAAAAGAAGAATATACGAATGGTGGTTGATACCAGAATAGCTGAAAAATTATCGGAAAATAATTAAAACGAGCTAAATTTGTGAAAATACGACTATATAATTGTATATATTTTGTTTTTTAATTACTGTGGGAGCTAAAGATGAGTGTTTTACCATATCAACCAACAAGCGATGAAGATATATTTCGCCTTTGTACAAAAGAATGCGGCATCATCACAGCCACAGAGGATCAGCAATACTTTGCATTAGGCTGTATGTTTTGTCCAACCAAATTTCTGTATTTCGACGCATTTATTGGACATATGCAAACAGATCATGGACCACAAACAATGGATCAGAAGGGGCTGTTTGGTGATATGTTAGGGTAAGACAATTATAACGTCTTTTGTATCAAAAAGAATCAAAATACATATAATTTGAGGTAATGTTAGGCAAGATTTCAGTAGGTGTATAGCGTATAATATAAATTTGTAGATATGTTATTACATTACTTTGTTCGTTGTAATATTTATTGAATATATAGTAGAGAAACAAAAAATGTAGGGTAACAGTTTGATCTTACGTTGAAAAATTATGTTTATTTGTACTATTTTATTTTATACAGGCTCGGTTATAATGGCTCCTTTGGTGAAAATGATAGTGGTCATAGTGGCGTTGCTGCAGAAGATCTTACCGACACCGATCCTTCGCTTTTAGTACCACAAACAGTTATGATTAAAGAGGAAGTAGGAGAGGTAAGTATAGTAAATATTCTTAAGTACTCCTAAAAATAATAATAATTTTGGTATTTTCACAGGAAGCAGTAGAACCACCAAAACCTGATAACTCCATAATTACAGGATTATCAACAGAAAATGAATTAGCAGACACTGTGAATTCAATGTACTTAGTTAAACAGGAACATGCAGAGCCGGAGGTTGCAATGGAGGGAGATGGTGAGAGCTATATGCCTGATAATTACGGAAATTATGAAGATTTCACTAACAACGGTGATGAAGATGACCACAATTATCAAGAAGATGATGAGAATAATTATGATGATTTAGTTGAACAATCGTTATTGGGCGGAAATCATGAAGTGGTATAATGTATGGTATTGTGTATATTTAATTTGCTAAAGTTGTTTATATTTTAGGAATCTGGTTTAACTATGCATATAAAAGACCGTAAAATGATTCAATTTCTTATTGACTCATATCGGCGAAACACATTTCTTTGGGATCATCGTCATCCACAATTTCGTGATCGTTCTAAAAGACAGCACTTTCTCGATTGGATTGTAATGGAATTTAAACGGCGGTTCAATTTATCGCTGGCAAAAGATGCAGTTACTCGCAAGTGGGACAATTTAAGAACTGTGTACAAGAGGGAATGCAATCGAATGTCTTTAGAAAATACCAACATCAGTACACTCTGGTATTTCAAGGATTTACATTTTCTTAATCGATTTTATGGTGGCAATCAAAAGATGACTGAGGCTGTCGTGAAGGTATTTGATATTTATTTAAAGATAATAGATATCGAGATATTAGTCAATAACTTATATATAAAAAATGTTGACCGTGACGAGATATTGCTTACATACTTTCTTTTATGGAAAAGTGGTTTTTTCTTATTTTAGTTATATTTTAAGCATAGGAAAAAAAGAAATTCATAATTTTAGTAATTACAACACTTTCATTAAATAACATTTCAGGAAACAGTATACCGACGTCGCTCCTCCGCACTTTGGAATGATGTCTCAACTATGAAACTTTTATCAATGGTCGAGCAATATCCATGTTTTTATAATAAGTACAACATAGACTACCGTAGCAAAGAAAAACGCGGAGAAGCATTACAGCAAATGGCGGCGGAACTGCAAAAGATGATTGAGGTCAGCACTATACAAATATCAAAGCGTATTTCCCAATTGCGTTTTGATTACTCCAAACAAAAGCAGGAACGTTTGCTATGCGAGCAAAACAATAAAGTGTTTATGCCAACTTACAGTTACTACGACCAAATGCAGTTTATGGATGCGGATATTGCACCATTTAAATGTGAATTTTGTCCCGTTATTGTGCAATCACCACGAGAACTAGATGTACATCTCAATACACATCAGCCAGAGGGTACTTACACTTGTAATATCTGTCCTGTTAGTTTTTTAGACGTTGATCAGCTGAATCAACACAAACAAATACACACACCCACAAGTAAGGAGGTAAAATACTGGTGCGATTTATGTACGGCCAGTTTTCGTACTAAAGAAGTGTACGATGAACATATGCGTCGTCACAACGATGAACTCTTACTACCTTCATTGGCCAATATCCCGCATACAGGCAGTGAGATGGGTATGGCGGAAAATGAAAATTCACTGTTGCACATGGACAATTCAGAGTACGATGATGGCTATTCGTGTGACATATGTGGTAAATCTTTTACCAATATGGTGTATCTCAATGCGCATCGCGCACAGCATACCAGTCCCAGTGATCGTCCATTCCGTTGTGATTATTCTCATTGCGGTCGTTTGTTTCCCACGCGACAATCCATGTTAGAACATGCTAGGCAACACTATAACGATGAAGAATTTAAATGCGACATTTGTGGTAAAACCTTCAAATCACTTAAAAATCTGCAGAATCACAAGCAAATACACGACGCTATCAAACGATATGTGTGTAAGATTTGTGGCTCGGCGTTTGCGCAAGCAGCCGGTTTATATTTGCACAAACGCCGACATAATCGGCCAAACTCACGCATACGTCAAGGTTACTGATCCACTTATATAAACCTATAAAAGGTATTGCAGGCAGCAGTTAAATATAGCTTAGTAGGTTAAGCATATAGAAAAACGACTACAATAATCTTAACACTAATTTTACTATGCGCGATATACTTATAATAATAATTGCATAAAATAAACAATTTTAGATTTTCAAGTAATTACACTTGTGTTAATGCAATACAAAGGTCTAAATGAAGTAGAAGTCATTACGTTTTTAAGACTATTTTTTTATTTTAACTAATTTTATTTTTATTTGTTACACAGTTACAATAAAAGAGATTTTTTATAACTAGTACTGCATATTATTCATATATAAAATTATTTATGCGTACGCTGAAACAATTCACAAGTATTAATACACAAATTTACATTAATTTATTTTAATGGGCACACATAAAGGTGCAAGTAAATTATTATCCATTAGTTACTCTAGATTGGTTTATAACATAAGAATGTACTTAGAAATTGTATAATGTAAAATATAACCTTAAGAAGAATTAAACGTAAAATTTTCCATATTAAAAATAATCATATATCAATTAAATTTACGCTTTTAATTTTGCTTGGTGTTGGTATAGATAACATATTTACGTTTAGTTTAATAATATACTAACCAACATCTACATATGTTTTATATTTTGGACGGATTTAAGCTCAAAATTTATAATATTTAGTTTAACAAAATTACAAATTCCAATTTCTTGTTTAATTAAAGTCACCATAATTTTTAAGTAATTTATATTATTTTATGGATTCATATAAAGGCTTGTTATACATGTACTCATATCTCTAAATTGATATTTTAACACATATTATTTTGGCTGATGTTATTAGTGTGTTAAGGTTCTCATAGCAATAATTTCAAAGATTTCAATATAAAAACAGAACAGACAACAGAACGCCATTGAAGTATTTGGCTTTGAATATGAAGTAGGTGTAGTGAGAGGCATGAAACATGGATAATTTTAAATAATTTTTTGCAAGTAAATTATTTTCTTTAAAAAAGTAAAAACATAGTATAACAAAATAAAGTTTCGACTTGACTTGACAGAAATTAAAAAGAAAAAAAAAGTTAGGAAGGTCTAAGTTCGGGTGTAACCAAACATTTCATACTCTTTCAATTTACGTTATATATAACATATTAACAAAAAAGTTGCTCTCGGAGTGAATGTTTCAAAATCCTGAATATCAATTATATAGGGGTTAGGGTAAGTTTTGAACTGATTGCATCCATTTTAGGCACAAAAATGCACCATTATTAGAAAAACACGCTCATTCAATTTTATTAAGATAACTTACATATTGACCGATATTGGTGGAATGAAGTCAACCGGAAGTTGGATCCGGTTGAATCTTAAAATTTGACATACAAGTATAATATTATCAGTAAAAGACTTTTCCGAATTTCAAAAATGTATTTCACAGATTGACCAACATTTTCGATGAAAAGTTCGCTATAGGAACTGGGGTCCCCATATTCGATAGCGCGGGGCATGAACAGTTGCACTATTTGTGCTAAGTTTTATCCGGATATATTGATTGGCTTTTGACTTGTATACTGGAAAGCGAAAGAATCAGATGGAATTTAAAATTGTGTTATATGGGAAGTAGTCGTGATTTTTGTCCAATTTAGCCCATTTTCGGTTAGGTTTATATCTTAAATAAGTGCTTAGTTATGGCTTTTTATAGGCACTTCGAATAATGGCATTTTTATCAAGAAACATGTGTACCAAGTTTCATCAAGATATCTTAAGTTTTACTCAAGTTACAGGTGCGCAGACAGACGGACGGACGGACAGACATACATGCGGATTTCAACACGTCTCATCATTCTGATCATTCATATATATATATATATATAACCCCATATCTATCTAGATTAGTTTTACGTGATACAAAAAACCGTTCGGTGAACAAAACTATTATACTCTGTAGCAACATGTTGCAAGAGTAAAAATATATATTAAATTTGAAAGTAATGGCTGTTTGTGTTGATCCAGTTCTTCTAAAAACAATCGGACAACAAAATCAGTTTTATCAATAAATAACCCGATCGAAGCATTTTTTTTAACTAATTGGCGGCCTCAAGAACATTTTATTTTCAGCTTTTCGTGAAAAACCCAACAGTTTAGTGTTTATAAAAAATCGAAATTAAAAATAAAAATCCTTCGATCAGGTACTAGTTTTTCATGTTTTCAAAAAGCTGTATAAATCTTGTATAATTTTCATTGAAATCGACCGTAAGGTTTTGAGAAACACGTATTCGAACGTGTCAGAGCGCCCGAGAACCCTTAGCTAATTATCGAATAACTCGAAAAGTATTTGTCGGATTTCCTTCAAATTTTCTAAAAATTGTGACTACCCCAAACCCTCTTAAGTTGATAAGTTACATAATCTATATGTTACATTTGTAGCTATTTACCTTGGATTTAAATTTCCAAAAAATTCTACTCTATATATTCATACAAATCTCCTTCGCAGAGAAATATGATAGCGACTTGGAAGTTTTTATTTCTGTTCCAAATTTCTTTAAAATGCCAAAGGGGTTTTGAGAAATTTATTCCACATATTAATTTCGCCTTTAACTTCTTCAACATTAGTTTATTGAATCAAATTAATAAAATTAAAATTTAAGTAGGAGAAAAACAATTATAATTGTAATATTTTTGCTAATTTTCATTTACAACACCAATGCAATACAACACCAAAAAATTTCAAAATATGTAAGAATGAAACATTTCCATTTGTTGAATTCTTGATCACTTGTTAGAGAGACTCGATAGGTTGTGGGTTTAAATTACTGCTGCAGCGAAATTGAAAAAAGGTATTAATTTGTTGAAAATATTTCAAACGCAAATCATCAATACATTAATAAAAAAGTAATAATTTTATACCTTGTATATACCATATACACATATGTATATTATATATGTACATTTTTTATATTTTCGAAATATTTTGCTCGTATCCATAAAAAAATAAATAATTCATATAATAAAGTTAGATTTAAGCACATATACCTTGAAACCACATATAATATTGATAAACAATTCAACTTGAATAAATATAATATCTTCGCAGCTTATAAATTCGTACATGTGTGCATATAACATATGTACGTACATATATACTTGTATGCGACTTAAGGAGAATAGTATGTCTTAAAAAATACATATATATGTAACTATGTATCTAGTAATAAACAATTTGATCAAAATAGTTTTATATTGTTTATATAAATATATGAAATCAAACACTGATATTTAACAGTGTTATTTGTCATACATTCATACATATACATACTTGTATGTATATCCAACACATACGTAAGTAACTGAATAATTTTAAACAAATATAACAGTTAAAAATGTAATACACATTTAGTCTCATAAAAGTAAGTAGCTATTAACCAAGTGGATAAGCGTAGTTTCAAATATTTTAATTTTACAAAGCAAATATATTTGACTTTTTTAAGTTTAGAATTAATCAAAAAATGAATAGTATATTATACAAATACCTAGAAGCATACATAATTGTTTCCTACTGACAAGAATAAAATTAAAACTTAGGCATACACATACTGTCATATGTAAATATTAATTATTCATATGTAAGTGGATTTTTGAAATGAATATTGCAAAGTCTAGTCAGAGGAAATGTACATGATAGCAAGCCGATAGGCTGTTAAGCCGTTTTATGCACTCCTCCAACAATAGCGAGAGATCAAATCTCCTAGGCTGAAATCGCTTTTAGTGCCACTTGATTATCGTTAAGTATGGCAATACGTTGATTGCGATAGTTGCGTTGGAGATATATTTTACCCACTGACTTATAACAAAGACCGCTTGAAAAATGCTCGGAAAAATCTCCTGGAACGTATTCGAACTGTCAATGTACCACTGAATTGTGCTCATTCAGTAGTGGGTCAAGCGTAGAATTATTCCACTCCGCCTTACTGCCGAGGGTAACTTTAAACTTCCTTGTGAATTTAACCCTTTTGCTAATGCCGTCCCTTGGAAGGAGGGCCAATAGTGCCTCTTCACCTAATTTCTTTATTTGTTGATACGATATTCGTTGTGGTATAGATACTGCCTTTGGCGGTATATAAATTCTGATCCTTTTGGTTAGGTAGACTCAACGAGAGATACCTCTTCACTTGATTTCTTTAGTGTCTCGAATTTGATGTCCTCTTTATTAGACCATAGTTAGAGTGGACATCGCTGAAGGAATTTTATCAACAAGAGAACCTTGCCCTACGGGCGAATACTGGCTTTATTTAGTAGCAGCAACTCAAATCCTACTTGCTTTTAAGAATATTAAACACGTATGCTGAAGTCATATAACTCCAGCTAGCAATGAGTGGTTTCGACAGGATCGTATCTCACGACAGCCGATTCTACGTTACCGGAAATTCCCTGTACTTTATCCGGCCAAGCGCTGTTATTTCGGTGATCTAACCGTTTGGATAGGTAAGTTTTAGATTGAGTTTGTCATCACTGGAGCAACTCCTAGCAGCAGGATTGCTCAGCAACCTCCTGACCCATGCTGGCATTGAGTCCAATCCGGGCGCGGAAGAATTTTTCTGCTGCGTTTGCGCTAAAAGGCTCCACCCAAACTCTACCTCGGTTAGATGTATTGCATGCAATTGATGGAGTCATCTTAAGACCTGCTCAGGCCTTAATACCCACAGGGAGTGGACCACAAGTTATGCTGTCAACGCATTACTGCGACACTAGCCTCTACTGCTGTGCGAATTGCACCTAGTTCGCGCACTGTGTCGCCACTCCAGTCGAGTGGCCAACAAAGGACCTCTACGGTCTCAAGGAGTTCAAACAGGCAGCATGACCCCCAGTAATATTAGTAATCGCGAGCGAGATAATGGTGGGAGCTTAGCATTCATACTGCACAACACTGTGCAATATTTTCCAATTGATAGCGATATCGACCGCAGAGATACTAACCTTGAATGTCAGGGTATAGCTATAGTTATCCGGTCCGGCGATGTCGAGCTCGAAATATTAATTGTATACATTCCCGCTCGAACATAGGTGCGCTAATTCGTGGTGAAAACAGTTTGGTACAAAGCGACTTTAACGCCCATCACGATCTTTGGCCCTCCTGCCTGTCGAACGATCGTAGGGGCTATAGCCACTTGTAATAGCTCGTCGGATATTACGATCCCTTGGGGTGGTCTGATAAAAAGCATAACATGGCGACCTATGCTAACCCAAAAATCAAACCATCTGCCCATAGTCATTTCAATCGAGAAACCTTCCGACTTTATTTCTGCGGACAACCGCACCTTCGTTAACTTTAACAAAGTTAACTGGGTCGGCTACACAGAATTTACTGTGAACACCTTCACCGCAAAACCCATTCCTTCAGACATAATTTTTGGCGAACGTCAATTCCGCAAGGTGATCGCAGCTGTTACCGCTCGCTTCGTCCCGGCTGGAAGAATAGCGGACCTCCCCCCGAATTTTCTAGCCGAAGCAGCTAGTTTAGCAAACGAGCGCCATACCGTTCACTGTTATTCCCGAATAATAAATCTCAATTTGAAAATTCGCATAAGCATAAGCGAACGAAATGGGTAGAGTATCTGAAGTCTTGGACCCGAAGAAGTGCGCGAGCTATTTTAGCTGGTAGTTTACACTGCACCCTTCGACAGACAAGGCCAAACGATATGTTACCCGTTCGGTGCCAACAACAAAGCTGAATCATTCGAATCCATTGGCCCAGATGGAATAGACATGTTGATGGTCCTCAAAATGTCGCTGAAGAGTGGTCCCACTACTGAA